CACATACTCAACTAGCTCAGCGATGTTTGTGACGGGAATAGTGCGTTTATTTCGAAATAATTGTCCGCTGGGAGTGCAGAAAAGAATATCTTTGGACGCGGCCATACTATGCAGCAAATCAGAAGCACGTTTTTCCGGCACTGCACGGGAAAGATGACTCAAAACATCTTTTATTCTTGGTTCTTCTTTTATGTTCGGTTCTTCATCCTCGCTTTCATCACCAGAACTTTCGCTTTCTTCATGTTCACTCTCGTGTTCTTGTTCAACCAAATCTATTTTTCTCTTTATTTTGATGAGTACCCGTGACAGGCTTAGCTTCGAATGATCAACTTGCCGTTGCGTCACCTCTTTTATAGCATTAGAGTTCCTAAGCTTGAAACAACAGGGGCTAATACATCTTCAATAAAACCACTACCCTCTTGTACAAGGACTCGCTTCTTTGTTTTGTAAGGGACATTTGGACTGGCCAGGTTAAGTGAAGCATCCTTATATGGCAGCAGTATCCGCTTATTTTCTTCGGGGATGGGAATGTGTCCCAGCAGTATATTGTATAAGACTTGGACTAGTGCATGTAGTTGCTGTGGAGTAGCTGTCTTTAAAAGAAACTGGCGCTGATAAGCAGGGCAATCAGCTAACAGTTGAAGAAAACCACGATTGTTGTTTACTACACGAGACATGAACTAAGAATGGCACTTAGTAGTCTCTTATAGAATCTCGTGGAGGGAAAGACAATAGAAATGAGGAGGAGGAGGGAAAACAATAGAAATTTGGAGGCGGTGGTGGTGGTGGTGGTGGTGGTGGAAGAAAACAACAGAAATGTGGTGGCGGTGGTGGTGGTGGGAAAACAATAGAAATGTGGTGGTGGCAGTGGTGGTGGTAGTGGCGGTGAAGGAAAATAGAAATGTGGTGGAGGGAAAACAATACAAATGTGGTGGTGGTGGTGGAGGGAAAACAAAAGAAATGTGGTGGCGGTGGTGGTGGTTGTGGAGGAAAACATTGGAAACGTTAGAGTTGGCGTGATGTCCCAAACGATTTTGCCGACATAACGATATTTAGATTTAGATTTAGAACGTGGTGGCGGTGGTGGTGGTGGAGGGAAAACAACAGAAATGTGGTGGCGGTGGTGGTGGTGGTGGTGGTGGAGGAAAACAATAGAAATGTGGTGGTGGTGGTGGTGGTGGGGGGAACAATTGAAATGTGGTGGTGGTGGTCTTGGGAGAGGAAAACAATAGAATTTTATGGCCTGAAAACCTATATAAATGCGCAACATTCTACCTCTTTCTCAGTCTACATTTTGCTCCTGAGGAGTTGACATGAGCTGGTTCTGTTCTGTCTGCGAAAAATCCTTTAGTATAAAAGATAATATGCAAAGGCACGTGATGTTTAAAACCACATTGCTGGTCTCACCCCATTTCAAACAGTTCCAATGTTTTTGCAAAAATGTCAGCGGTTTCGCTTCGAGCATCCTTTCACCTCCATGATTGCCGGAATGACCGGGTCCGGAAAAACGGCCTGGGTTCGATCTCTATTACAACAAGCTTCAGAGACCATTTACCCTCCCCCGGAGAGGATCGTTTGGTGTTATTCACAATGGTAGCCTGCGTATACACAAATGTTAGTCGCCATGCCACACATTGAATTCGTCAAGGGAATTCCTACGGCTTTGGAGCAGGATTCTTATTTTGATGTGAACAAACGGAATTTGATCGTGTTTGATGATCAGACGATTGACGCCAGTAAAGACAAGCGAATGGTGAACCTCGTTATTCGTGGTTCTCATCATCGCAATCTGCGCGTGATTTATATCGCGTAGAATCTATTTTATCAGGGGAAAGGTAGCCGCAGCATAAGCCTAAACAGCCATTATCTGGTGTTATTCAAGAATCCACGAGACAAATTGCAAATCTTGACTCTGGCGAAGCAAATGTATCCCGGGCAGACGAATTTCTTTTTAAATCAATACGAATGGGCTGTAAAAAGACCTTTTGGTTATCTTCTGATTGATCTGAAAACTACTACCCAAGATAATTGTCGGTTGCGAACAAACGTCCTGCCCAGTGAAGAAGGCTTTAACCAAGCAGGGTTTCAAGAAAATATTCATCAAGAGTTTCTAAAATATCTGAAGCAGCTATGCAAGAAATACAAGGCAACATGGATGATGTGCTTTCTCGAAACGATCTTCGGGACGACGAAAAAACTACACGATACTTTCAGTTGCAAAACAGATACCTGGCTTTTAAGGTGACTCGACCCAGTTTTTTTTTGGGGGGGGGGTACCATCCTACGTTGAAGCTCTCTGGTATCCCCACCTTTACTTTTATCGCAAGTCTAACACATAGAATGGATGACATATACATCAATCTACAATATAATATAAAATTTTTGGCGATTGGAGTAAATGCCCGTGGTTATAATGCCACGCCCCTTTGAGGTCTGAGTCGAAAATCTGCTGTTGCCGGCATTTTTTCGTGAAAATCTCTCGGCTACACATAGTGTGCATTAGTGCCTTGCGCTGAACAGAGTTTCACCAAAATCGCAAAGACCCGATTCGAGAAATTCAGCGGTTTCCAAATTTAGGTCATAATTTATGCGAAAATGATAAGCAAACTTTACACGGATTATATCTAATAAACTATGAGATTCATCTCTTTATTTTGGGCATCGTTATAACAGATGGGTCCTTGCAAGTCAGCAAAACAATTTAGGGCCTTGTAAAATGCGCGCGATTTCGAGCAAAGCAAACATATAGAAATTATAGTTTTCGCTATTTGTTGACGTTTGTCAGCGTTTAAGAGTCAATCTCACGAAAAAAGCATTTTCTTAAAAATTCGTATTTTTTTTTTCCTTCAAATTTTTTCAGGGCCACAATTGATTAACTAACTACCCAGACTCTGAATTTCATGGTCATTGAAAAACTGTGACATTACCTTCTATAAGCCCAAACTTGAGTAAACATTGAAGATTTTTAGCGTTTTGGCCGAGTTTCTGCTTTGGGAGTTGTCTGTTGTTTCTAGTCTGTCATTATACAGCATTCTTGTTCAGCACGCGTGCAATGACCGCGCTTGGCTGACTTCCGAATGCTCACCGAGATATGATAATTTTGGTACAGTGAGACAGGCCATCGCGTGATACATAGAGGTTTAACTCACAATTTTTAATCAATTCTCGTGCTTCTTGTGCCTTTGCAAAAAAATCAAGAAGTGCTACACACTAAATCTACTTACTATTAAAAAAGTATCATTTTTTCATAGGTTTAATGCAAGCCAATAATTAAACCAACTCGTGACGGGAATCCCTTCTATTTTCTTATACTAAATTATCATACGGTATCTCGGTGAGCATTCGGAAGTCAGGGATGTTGGGGATAATGAGAAGAATAAGACGATTGTCATATTTGTCTTCATCTTTATTCCCAAGTGGTAAACCTCCCGTGCGAATGTGATGGCAAGTCTAAAAAGCTTGAATAAATTACAAGGGTTTTCATTGCATCTGAAAAATGGATGGTTAGAAGTACTGGAGTTGGTGGCCTCATTTCTCTTCAAAACGGGAACCCGTGACGGTTAAAACTCTTGAGAGTTTTTCGTAGAAGCCATATTTTGCTTTGTTAAGATTTGTTTCCAAAAGAGAGGGACAAATACAAAGTAAGTTTGATGAATAGAAGTTCTTTAATATCACCGAGCACTCATCTTAAAATTGTTCTTCTTTAAGTGCTAACTTTATTCGCCGTAAGTTTCTGATTACTCTGTTTCTTGCAATAAAGCTATAGGTAGAAATATCCTTTCAGATAGGAGATAGTCTCTCGGCAGTCTTCCTCTATTCGTGCGTCAACTTTCACACTGTCACAATTGCCTTCAAACTTGCTGATGTAAAACTAGAGAGCTTTGACGCTTATTTGCTGAAGTTAGGGAAACATCTGTCGTGGGATTTCGAAGTTATTTACATTTTTCGCAAAAATGCGGTTTTAAATATATGCCGATATCTCAAAGGTTTTTATACCTACAAGAAAACAATTAACATTTTCTTAAAGTTCCATCATTATTTATTTGGTGTGCCGAAAATCATTGAAATCGGTGGAATCTTTCATTCCGAAAAACGCAAATAAAATACACAACCAACACGCATATAAATAGGTTCGGTCCACCTTAAGTTATTAATTTTTTATATACTAATACGTCAAGGTTCTCTCTTGCGGTTTTCCTGTAGAGCTAATTTGTATTCAACTTTGAGCTCGCAATCTCGCATAATTAACTGATTAACGGTGCGTGAAATTACAAGACTTTATTAGTTTTTCATTTCCTCGAGATACAAGGGAGAAAAAGCCAGACAAAATTGAAATAGAGAGTTTTCAGCTCCACTTTTGTGCATATGTGTTTTGTTTATGTACATCCGAGTTTTAGAGCTAAATAAGAAGACATAAACTAAATTGAAATAAAGACTTTTCAGCTCCACTTTGTGTATGTGTTTTGTTTATATATCTGATTTTAAGCGCTAATTAAGATATAGAAAGCCGTTTCTCGCGTTGCTAGGTGAACGCTTCTCTTATTCTTATTTTTGCCTTTTAATAGTATGCAGGAAGGCATGTGAATATAAATGATTTACCTATACCTATACCGAAATAGTATGCAGGAAGGTATGTGAATAAATGATTTACCTATATCTATACGTATACCTATAGTCACCAACGGGGCTTATCTTTGCTGAAGCATGACTACTTTTTAGGATGACAGTTTTATCTGAGTTTTCCAATGTTTTTAACCTCTTGTAAGCGACCACTTCACGCATGGTCTAAACTCTTTGTTCGATGTATGTACTACGCTACAAACAGCATCCGAAGACACTTATCGTTACTTAGAAATTGCATGCAACAAATTGTCTCCGGCCCAGAAAGAAGATATATCGGTGGGTAAGCGACCACCTTCAGTAGGTGATTTTCGTGAGGCTCGATGAACCCAATTTGAGGATAGCGTTTAACAACAATTCTGTCCGTCGATACGTTATATCTAGTGGGATCCGTTTGTGCAACAACACAACTTTTTGACTCCATCACGAACATCTTTCATTCTCCAAATATAAAGGCCAGGATTGAGACAGGATGCTGAAAGCAAGATCACCAAAGATACGTGCTTTGGCCCCCAATTTCCTTCTTTCTTACCCAAAAGAACAAGGAGAAAAAGCGAAACAATGAAAGGTAAAATGCACAAAGAAAACAAAGCGAGAATATACAAGACTGAAAAGATCGATTTCTTATACTTTGCCAAGTCGATCGCCGGTTGACCAAAATTTTGACGAGACTGATTGGTATGAATTTGTTGCTGGCGCTGTCGAATAATACGGAACACTTTGAAATATGCAACAGAGGTGGCCAAGTAACACGATAGGCCATAAGCGCCCATTGCAGCATTTGTTTCTAGTTTCATTTTCTTTGTGATGAGGTTCAATGCCTGCAAAGTAACTAAGGGAACTGGCACCAGCAGGGATATGACAGCCGTAAGATATCCACGGCGTGATGTGAGTAAGGATCGGTGAGTCATGTGCAGCCATCGTTCAACGGACAAAAGTGTTATAACAAGTATCGTAAGACACAACAGATATGTACTAATGAGAATGCCAGGCCTGGAGACAACTCCAAACTTATGGTTCAGCAAATAGGGAATGGACATAAGAGGGCTGGCAACACCAGTCAACAAGTCCGTAAACGCCAAAACACTCAAAAGAATGTGAAAAGATGTTCTCTGAAAGGACCTTTTCCAAATCGCCGTCAAAACCACTACATTTCCCGCCACTGCTACTGGCGCGAGTACAACGATCATCACATGACTTGCCACAAAAATACTGTTCGACTCTTTTGTACTTGCTCCAGTGCTCAAGGTGCTAAAGATGGAGATATTAGTTGGAATGGGCCAAGTCGTGTTGTTCATCATGACGACGCAGCTCGGTTTACTTCAGTACTCCTGTATGAAAAATGTCTTTTACGACTTCGCTTGGCTTGAGAAATTTATAGGAAAATCGTTAGCTTCTAACGGTGTTAATAAAATGAGGTAAAAAATATACCTATGTTACAATACAAACAGGGCCAGAAGACACAACTTTGGAACAGTTTGCATACAGTAGGCACCGTGTTCAGTTCACTGATGAACACCTTCCTTCACAAGGATATTGCTTCAATAGGAAATGATTGTTTTTAACTTAGTTTTTGCAGCTGTGTGTGCTGAGTTGATATTACTTCTATTTATGCTCTTCCTATAACTTCCTTAGAGGGTTTAAAGGCCGATATAACTGCTTTGCCTGAGCTCTGTTTGCTGGGCTGGATAGATAAGCAGATAACAAACCAAGATTGAACGTAAAGGACTATGGGTAAAAACCCAAAGCCAGTTTATTAAGGAAATAAGTTCAATCAAAATGACAATTTCCCAAAACATAAAATTGTTAAGAATGTTACAAATTTGTTGAAACTTTGGCCCAGTAAAGGTGAGGGCCACAACAAACGCAAACAACATGGCAGCTGGGCAGGGTTGGGAGGGGAAAAGCTTCAGCTTACTTGTCCACGAGTTTGAGGCAAGTGTGCTTGATCCACTCGGAATCGCGCGTACGTGTGGTCAATATGGGATACCGCTGGCCACTTGCCACGTGAATGCTGCTATTACATAACAAGGAAAATAGTTCTGCCTTTTCACAATAACGATACTACAATATTAAGAAGGAAGTGATAGGGAGCATAAAAATCCTATTTGCTAGCAAATATTTCATTTAAATCGATGTACGGTTTCCTATTTTTTGCCTTTGTTGACTGTTATTCACCATTGCTTTTAGTTTATTAGGAAATTTATATTATTTTTCCAGTTGCTGGCATTTATCTCACTCACTCACTCATGACCCGCAAGCCTTAGAAACGTCCACGACGGTCATCTGAATTGACCGATTGCGCAATATAAAACAAAGGAAGTGTCACGGAATTTATCGCCGCCGAGAGCGGAGCCGGTCAAGAGAGGTTTGCCAACCTGTCATCTGGGTGAAAAACTGTCGCTCCAAAAAAGGCCTTAAACAGTGCCTAGGAGGTCTGAAATGCAGTCAGAATAAAAAGAAAAACAAGAAGACGCTAAAGGTAAGCTTCAAAGCGATGTTCAATGTACATTTTGCTAATTTAGTGAGCAAAGAATATTTCTCCATACAACGTCTTATAATTTTTTTTGCTGTATGAATAATTAATTAGCTAAGTAGGATAATGTTGTTCAGGGCTCTCATAGTGAGCTTGGGCTACCTGTGCATAGTGCAGGACCGAAGGTCGGAAGATAAGGAACCCCTGGAACTTATTACTCGCACGTCATCTCGCTAATTCATTTGGCATTTTATTCCGACAAAAGCAATTAAAACAATCAAAATATGCTTTTGTTCCCAAACGATAACCACAACCTCCGTAAATACATCATCGATTTTATTTTTAAAATTACAAATGTCTTTTCAAACAGGGCAACTTCAGAACACCATGGCATTGCAATAAAACTCGCCGCACTTAATAGTAAAGTCATTGTCTTTTTTTAACAAATAGTCATCATTGAAATACGTTAAGGTGCTTCTTAGTGATTTCTTTCCAGGCTTTTCTCCGGCGTTCCATTCCTTGTTCTTAATTTCTATACAGTCCTCTAGCAAGAATCTTACGAATACTAATGGCAAAAGTGAAACTCACCTTTTTCCCCGCAAGCAGCTATTGATCAAAAGACTCCCCTAACAATGATTTCCATTCCCATACCTAATTTTCTAAAATCCTGCAATACATAGCATTTTCTTGACTGGTTAAAGACTTAAATAGCGGCAGCGGCGCGATTTGGTAATTTTTTGCGGGCATTGCACACGTTTTGACGGGATGGCGATTTCACTATTCGACCGAATCCATTTGATCGCTTGGTCTCTGTGTTTTCTGCCTCTACTATGACACCTTCATCTACTAACAATAGTATTTCCACAACCCGTCGTCATTAAATAAAGGAAATTTTTCATGTAGCCCGTTTGCACACGCTTTACATCATTAACAGCAGATCATGGATAATAGTCCCCAAACAAATGCAGTCGGATTAGAAGATCTAACGTTTCCAACATCAAAATGCCTACCAGACTGCCGATGAATATTACCACTAACACGTTTATCGTAATATCGTTAGGCTCAGAAACATTTTGAAGGCATAGGAAGACCGTCTTCTTGTCGTAATGTCATAAATCTACAGACGCACACACCGTACTTTACGTTAATCTCAAGAATGCATTGCTGGCTTTACATGTGTTCGATCAGAGGTCAAATCATAATGTCACACTACTTCCATATAAAGAAAGAGTCAATTATTGTTTCCATTATTTTGGTTAAATTTTTAACTATAGTGCGTTGAATGAACAAGATTCCATCAGAGAGATGCCATGAAAATACGAACACAACGCACCAGCGCGTGGGTGGCACGTGATTCACTGCGGAAACTGCTGTTTAGCAAGCTCACGCCCAAGAAATTCGTTGAATCTGCACACACAAAGCCTCGGAGATCGATGATTGCAATTTGCTGTGGCCCCGGGGAAGGTACTCCCGCGAATTTTGGATAGGGGTGTGCCGCGAAGGTTCGTGAACCCTAACCCTATTTAAGGACTAAGAAAGCGAAAAATGATACCCTTTTTAAGGCCCAAAGCCAAAAAATGTCACCCTATTCAAGGAAAAAACAAAAGTATTAATAGCATGAAAAGGAAAACTTTATTTCTTCTCTGTAACATTGGATGTATAGCATGAAGCATAAAATACTAGAATAAGCCTAGTTTAATAATACGCAATCAAAACCGGAGGGCGTTTTCACACTCCAGTATTAGATAATACAATTAAGATAATCTTATCTACTGACCACACCAAGGACACAGAAACAAAAGGCTCAAGAAAGATACCCTATTTAAGGACCAAGAACCTAAGAAACCACACCCTATTCCACGGCATGTACCTATATAGCCCATATATGGGAGTAGCCCCCCTGGGGCTGTGGCATCCATCTTTCCTTTGCGATGAGTAGTATGCTGTGTGTTCACGGTCTGAATCAGCGCTTTTATCTGTCAACATTCGCCCGATTCTATTTGAGTTCTGCGACCTTCAGTACGTAAATTCAATACAAAATGGAACTACGCTACATTTTACTGAATACTGGCAAAGACCAGAAAGACAACGCTTGAATCGTAGGCCACGGCCACGCGCGATTATTCTGGATAACTCGTGAGCTAAGAACGCAAATCTCTGGCGTATGTTAAAATCTCTTCTCAATTACGACCAATTACTCTATCGCCAGATGCCGCCTTAATCTTGTTATAAAAAATGTGACGCTTTATCGAATAACTGACCACTGATGATTGGATGGATGGTCCAATCCAGAGTGAACCAAACTGTAAAAAAAATAATTGCTTTTTCACAATAGGAAGTTTATTGCTTGTCACTCAAACCCTAGCGTCCTTAACGACGCCAGCGTCCTGTGGTGTGCAAAAAAAAGTCGTATGCGGGTCCTCATTTAGGAGAGAAAACATGACCGTTTTCTGGACTCGACTTTTGCCAATTTTTCCTCACGAAGATCTCTTATAACAGCACCGAAAGGAATGGCAAAAAAGCGTGATGCACGTGCAAATTGTTGTTTTGCTAGTTTACTTGTCTAAACCTGTTGCTTTTTTGCCGTTCTCGTTGCCGTCGCCGTCGTCGTTGCGTAAACTCCCTCTTATTTTAGTAACCATCGCGAACCATATTTCAGGGGTACCCAATTGTCTGCAACTGAATATTTATTAGACAAAGTAACTGTCGCATAGAAATTAACTCGAGAACCGAGACTAAAAATACGGTCGAACGTCCATGTGTGACCACCTACTAAAGTTGGAAGCTCTGGTGAAATGCCCACCTCTTGTAAGCGACCGCGACTACTTTTTAGGATGACAGCTTTATCTGAATTTTCCATTGTTTTTAACCACTTGCCAGCGACCACTTCACGCCTTGTCTAATCTCTTTGTTCGATGTATGTACTACGCTACAAACAGCATCCGAAGACACATATCGTAACTTAGAAATTGCATGCAACAAATTGTCTCCCAGAAAGAAGATATGTCAGTGGGTAAGCGACCACCTTCAGTAGGTGATTTTCGTGAGATTTCGATGAACCCAATTTGAACATAGTGTTCAACAACAAATCTGCCCGTCGATAGTAGTTAGATCTGGTGGAGTCCGTTTGTGCAACAACACAACTTTTTGACTCCATCACGAACGTCTTTCATTCTCCAAATATAAAGGCCAGGATTGAGACAGGATGCTGAAAATAAGAAAACCAAAGATACGTGATATGGCGCCCACATTCCGCTCTTCTCACCCAAAAGAACAAGGAGGAAGAGCGAAACAATGAAAGGTAAAATACACAAAGAAAATAAAGCAAGAATGTACAAGATTGAAAAGATGGATTTCTTATACTTTGCCAAGTCGATCGCTGGTCGACCAAAATTTTGACGAGACTGGTTCCCATGAATTTGTTGCTGGTGCTGTCGAATAATGCGAAACACTTTGAAATAAGCAACAGAGGTGGCCAAGTAACACGATAGCGTATATACGCCTGATATAGCATTTGCCTCTAGTACCAGCCGCTCCTCGATGAAGTTAAATACTTGCAAAGTAACTAAAGGAATTGGCACTAGCAGGGATATGACAGCGGTAAGATATCCACGGCGTGATGTGAGTAAGGATCGGTGAGTCATGTGCAGCCACCGTCCAACAGACATTAGAGTTATGACAAGTATCGTAAGAGAGACAAGATATGCTTCAATGAAAATTCCAATTTGCGAGACGGTTTCGAATGTATGGAGCAGCAAGTAAGGAATGGACATCAAAAGGGTCGCCATACCGGTGCACAAGTCCGTAAACGCCAAAACACTC